ATTAGCTGGGCATGGTGGCACGTGCCTGTAATCCCAGCTAATTTTTCGTAGTTTTAGTAGAGACGGGGTTTCACCGTGTTGACCAGGATGGTCTCGATCTCTTGACCTCGTGATCCACCCGCCTCGGCCTCCCAAAGTGCTGGGATTACAGGCTTGAGCCACCGCGCCCGGCGACATCCTGCCTTTTAAGAGGCAGGATCAGCAAGGAATCAGTGGACACAGTCTCTGGAGTTCAACACTGATCACAGGTACAGCCCCTCCCCTGCGATTCCAAATTCTACAAAGCTCTGAAAATGAAAATTGTCATAAACTGGCAGCCAAATTTGACCGACATCACTGTAAACCCATAATCTAGGTGTGTTTGGAAGTTCTATTGCGTAAACATTAATGTGTCTAGCTTCCCCAAAGCCCTGCTGAGGGTGCTACATAACACACAGTCCATATACGTACCTCCATTCTAAAATGTGGATAGTTCTCACCCCAAAGATACCTGGCCCAGTAGTTTGGGGCAAGGCACTGTGGACCTAGGGCTGTGTGGCTGTAAGTGAACCTCTTCTAAACACCTGGTTTTTTTTTTTTTTTTTAGACGGAATTTCGCTTGTTACCCAGGCTGGAGTGCAATGGCGCGATCTTGGCTCACCACAACCTCCGTCTCCTGGGTTCAAGCAATTCTCCTGCCTCAGCCTCCCGAGTAGCTGGGACTATAGGCGTGTGCCACCATGCCCAGCTAATTTTTTGTATTTTTAGTAGAGATGGGGTTTCGCCATGTTGGCCAGGATGGTCTCGATCTCTTGACCTCGTGATCCCCCCGTCTTGCCCTCCCAAAGTGCTGGGATTATAGGCGTGAGCCACTGCGCCCAGCCAACACCTGTTAATTTTTTATCTATGAGGAATAATATTACTCTCCTTCCAAGGAAGGAGGAAGAAAGGGGAATGGGATGAAGCCTGAAAAGGTACTGTCCCAGTGTCTATCACACACTCAAAAAACCTTCTAATTTCTGGGCCATGACTGATGTCCATGACAGCCTTACCTCCTCTCGCAGCTCATACTGCTCAATCAGCTTCTTGAGCCTCTCAGCCAGCTCCATGTTCTCTTGTCGCAGCTTGGAGTTGCGCTCATTGTGCTGTTCCATCTGCAGCTGAATGTCATTCAATGTCACCTGGAAGTGCGAAGTCACCTCCTTGCGCTTCTCCTCCTCCTCCCGGGCCCGCTGCACACCTTCTTCCTGGGCAGAGAAGTCAGCCCTAGAGCCATCACCCACTGCTACCTAACAAGGCTCCCCCAACTAGTCCACAGATGGTCTCTGCCAAAAGCCCTCCCTGCTCCCAAAGTGAGGAGTAGCCAGGCTCCAGAATGTTGTATAATGTGAGTTCCAGTGGTCCCCTCTGTATATCAGGTGACAAATGAGATTGTCACCCTAGAAAAATGCAGGCACATCTATAAGTGTCATTCTGAAGCAAGTTGGATTTCCAGATTTCAGATCGATGTGCATTTGTTCCCTCTGTGCCCCCAAAGACCAAGCTGTTAAAATTTAGTAACACCCAGGGTTTGCAAAGTTGTGCAAATTTAGGCACTCAACACTTCTGATGGGGGAGGCACACTGCCCCCTCACTGGAAGACATCCAGTAAAATCTATTAAAATTAAAAATCTGCATATACTTTGACCTAGCCATTTCACTTCCATGACTTACCCTACAGGTAAGTTCTATATAACTGACCAGCGATAAATATAACAAGAATTTTCACTATAGTTCTATATGTAATAGTGAAAAATGGTGAACAACCCAAAAATGTCTTAACTAGGGCACTGATAAAATATAATGTATCCATATAATGATGTTATGCTCTTAAAAAGAGTGAAGATAAGGCTGGGCACAGTGGCTCACGCCTGTAATTCCAGTACTTTGGGAGGCCGCGGTGGCCAGATCACAGGCTCTGAAGTTCGAGACCAGCCTGACCAACATGGTGAAACCCCGTCTCTACTAAAAATGCAAAAAAATTAGCTTGGTGTTGTGGCGGGTGTCTGTAATCCCAGCTACTCAGGGGGCTGAGACAGGAGAATCCACTGAACCCAGGAGGCAGAGGTTGCAGTGAGCCAAGACCGTGCCATGGCACTTCAGCCTGGATAACAAGAGTAAGACTCTGTCTCAAAAAAAAAAAAGGATATGAAACGGTACATGTATAATAATTTCATGCTAGAAACGTGATATTTTTACATATTAAAAGAAGAAAATGGGCCGGGTGCGGTGGCTCACGCCTGTAATCCCAGCACTTTGGGAGGCCGAGGCGGGTGGATCACGAGGTCAAGAGATCGAGACCATCCTGGTCAACACGGTGAAACCCCGTCTCTACTAAAAATACAAAAAATTAGCTGGGCATGGTGGTGCGTGCCTGTAATCCCAGCTACTCGGGAGGCTGAGGCAGGAGAATTGCCTGAACCCAGGAGGCGGAGGTTGCGGTGAGCCGAGATCGCGCCATTGCACTCCAGCCTGGGTAACAAGAGCGAAACTCCGTCTCAAAAAAAAAAAAAAAAAAGGGAGAAGAAGAAAGTTGGAAGAATGTATGTAAATTTCCTGTAACCACAGACTGCCCTCACTATAGAAGCAGCACAACATTGGAAAGACCCAGGTTCCTGACTGACCAACCTCTGGAACAAGAGCTGCTTGTCAGGGCCAGACCTCTGCTTACCAGGTAACTGCCTTTCATTGAGAAATATTGATGCCAGTGCATTACAGATTCTCTTAACACCTTATCCTTATCTAATACATTTCAAATGGTTACAAGTAGTACTCTCTAATGTAAGGCATTACTGAGAAAGTGTATTTCTATGCCACAACCCTGCACTTTTTTTTTTTTTTTTAAAAAGACAGGGTTTCACCATGTTTGTACAGCTGAACTTAAAAGCTTAGGTGAACTGTCAGCTTTGGCTTCCAAAGTGCTTGGATTACAGGCGTGAGCTACCACACCTGGCCCCTGCACTATTTTTTTTTTTTAAATTATTTATTTATTTATTTAGAGACAGAGTCTTGCTCTGTCACCCAGGCTGCAATCTCAGCTCACTGCAACCTCCACCTCCCAGGTTCAAGTGATTCTCCTACCTCAGCTTCCCAAGTAGCTGGGACTACAGGTGCCCACCACCATGCCAGGCTAATTTTTGTATTTTTAGTAGAGACGGTGTTTCACCATATCGGCCAGGCTGGTCTCGAACTCCTGACTTTGCGAATTGCCTGACTTGGCCTCCCAAAGTGCTGGGATTATAGGTGTACGCCACTGTGCCTGGCCACTACTTTTTTTGAGACAGTGTCTCACTCTGTTGCCCATGCTGCAACGCAGTGGTGCAATCTCGGCTCACTGCAACCTCAGCTTTCTGGGTGCAAGGGATTCTCGTGCCTCAGCCACCTGAGTAGCTGGATTATAGGCATGCACCAGCACACTTGGCTAATTTTTGTATTTTTAGAAGAATGGGGTTGTGCCATGTCGGCCAGGTTGGTCTCAAACTCCTGGCCTCAAGTGATCCACCTACTCTGGCCTCCCAATGTGTTGAGATTACAGGTGTGAGTCGCCATGCCCAGCCTTGCTTTTTTACAGTATTCCATGTTGAAACTGTAATGTTTTGGATAATATAAATATATTACTAAAATTAATTTTACCTGTTTTAGTTTTTTAGAGTGGCCAGATTTTTAATTACTTATGTGGACCACTAAGCCCAGCCCTAGCCTGCACTACTTTTTAAGAGGAAAGCCCATGAAAGAAAGTCCAGGCAGAAGTCAAGGAAACCAGAGTCGCCTGTTCAAGGGTGCCCAGCGCCTACCTTGAGGGAGCGATTGTGCCGCTGCAGCTCACGGCACAGGCTCTCAAGCTTGCTACGGGCCAGGACGGCCTTGCTGTGCTCACCACGCAGGTGGTCCTTCTCTTGCACCAGCTGGCTCTGCTTTTTCTGCAGGAGTTTCATCTGCTTCTGTGAGTTCCGGTGCTCCTCCAGCTGGGGACAGGGATAGGGAGGGCAGGTGAGCATTCTGTTGGGCCTTCCTGGTGGGGATCACTACGCGGGTCTAGGGTCTCCTGAGCTGCCCTGACCCATACCCTCTCAGGCCACGAGTGTTGTCATGGGCTGATGCTGTGCTGGCGCTTATATACTCCTCCCATGAGCTGCTCACAGTAACCCCAAAGGGTCCACCGTAGGGAGGGAGAAATGGACACTCACTAGGGCAAGCAGGGGCCACACAGCCAGCAGGTGCCAATTCCTATTCCAGCTCTGACTCTGGGTCACTAGAGCCACTTCAGGCTGTTGCATTTCCCCAATTTGCTGGACACTCATGCCCAAGGATGAGACCCCCTGCTAGTCTACCTTGTGCCCATTAACAGACCCCTATCGCTCCCTCTCATCCCTTCAAAATGTTACCACTGGGTTAACACCAGCACCCTGCCCAACATAATTACTTTTCTCACTTGTGGCCACTTCAGTGTCAACAGACAATCCTTCTGACTCCCTGGCCTCACAGTTCTTCACCTCTTCCACAAACCCAGTCCTTTTCCCACCTCAGCTCCCCTCCCATGACCCTTCCTGGCCACTACTTTTTTTAAGACAGTGTTTCACTCTGTTGCCCATGCTGTAATGCAGTGGTGCAATCTTAGCTCACTGCAACCTCAGCTTCCTGGGTACAAGGGATTCTCGTACCTTAGCCACCTCAGTAGCTGGATTATAGGCATGTACCAGCACACTTGGCTAATTTTTGTATTTTTAGTAGAATCCAGGCCTGTACAGCAGAAATATACTGCAAACTATGTAAGTAATTAAAAATATTCTGGCCGGGCGCAGTGGCTCACGCCTGTAATCCCAGCACTTTGGGAGGCCAAGGCGGGCAGATCACGAGGTTAAGAGATCGAGACCATTCTTGCCATGATGAAACCCCATCTCTACTAAAAATACAAAAATTAGCCGGGTGTGGTGGCACGCACCTGTAGTCCCAGCTACTCGGGAGGCTGAGGCGGAAGAATCGCTTGAACCCAGGAGGCGGAGGTTGCAATGAGCCGAGATTGCACCACTGCACTCCAGCCTGGCAACAGAGCAAGACTCCGCTTAAAAAAAAAAAAAAAAAAATTTCTACTGGCCACACTAAAAAAGTAAAAATAAACAGCTGAAATTAACTTTAGTTATACATGACTAAAATTATTAATTAAGCCAGGAAGCATATATATAAAATATATATATATATAAATAATATATATATATAATTTTTTTAAATTTTTTCTTTTTCGATACTGAGTCTTGCTCTGCCACCCATGCTGGAGTGCAGTGGCGAGATCTCAGCTCACTGCAACCTCCGTCTTCTGGGTTCAAGCAATTCTCTTGCCTCAGCCTCCCAAGCAGCTGGGACTACAGGCCCGCACCACCATGCCCAGCTAATTTTTGTATTTTTAGGATAGAGACGGGTTTTCACCATGTTGGCCAGGTTGGTCTCGAACTCCTGACATTGTAGTCCACCCGCCTAGGCCTCCCAAAGTGCTGGGATTACAGGCGTGAGCCACGGTTCCCGGCTGTAATATATTTATTTAACCCAATATCCAAAACATTACAATTTCAACATGAAATCAATGTAAAAAAGTGAGGCCAAGAGTGGTGGCTCACAACTGTGATCCCAACACTTTCGGAGGCCAAGGCAGGTGGATCACTTGAGGTCAGCAGTTCAAGACCACTCTGGCAAACATGGTGAAACCCCGTCTCTACTAAAAAAAAATACAAAAAATCAGCCAGTTTGGTGGCATGCGCCTGTAATCCCAGCTACTCGGGAGGCTGTGAGGCAGGAGAATTGTTTGAACCTGGGAGCAGGTGACAGCACCGCAGCACTTTTGCCTGGG